CTCTGTGTTATCAGGGAACAACACATACACGGTGGATATTGTGGCATTGACCTGTGATTGCAAGAGATGGCAACTAAGTGGGATACCTTGCAGCCACTCAATTGCATGCTTTAGGGAAGAAAGGATAGATCTAGAAGAGATGGTCCATAAGTGCTACACAATAGATACATATCTGGAAGCATATGGGCACAATATAATGCCAACAAGAGTCAGGGCTCTTTGGGAGCAAGTGGAAGGTCCTATCATTCATCCACCAGTATACAAGAAGAGGATGGGAAGGCCACCAAAGAACAGGAAGAAAACACCTGAAGAAAAACTTCAGAAGGATGGCAGCATTGCTCTGAACAAGAAAGGTGTGAGTATGCACTGCTCAATTTGTGGAAAAGCAGATCACAACAAAAAAGGCCATCAAAAGTTCATGGAGAGGGAGAGGGAGAGGGAAGCTAATGAGCTATAAGAAGAAATAGAAGACCCTTCCATTATAAATGTATGAAATGTTGCACATTATTTCTCATATTCTGCAAAATCTGACACTGTTAATTTCTTCTCACACCATATGATATTGCAGGACATCAGGACACACATAGAGGACACAAGGATGGATCCCATGCATGTGCCTACCAGCATGGTCAATAGAATGAGACAAGAGGTAGCTAACATCATATAGCATGGTCTTTTATTTCACTTTTTATTGATGAATGCTGACTACTCTATCTGGATATTTTTTAGGAGAGAATCCATGTTTCAAATGTCACAAACCCTGGTCCATTGCCAGAAATGTCAAGATTTGTAGCTAATGCTAGGGAATCCATTCCTGAGAGAAGATCAACTACCACTACTACAACCAGGGGAAGGCTCAGGGGAAAAGGAAAAGCAAGGGCTCTAGATGAGGGAGAAATCAGTTGTACTGCAGGGAGAGGGAAAACTAAGAAAGTTAAAAGTGGGGAAGCAATGCTTCAAGAGGTGGTGGAAGAGGGGGAAACAATGCTGCAATAAGTGGTGGAAGAGGCGGAAACAATGGTGCAATACGTGGTGGAAGAGGGGGAAGAAATGCTGCAAGAGGTGGAGGAAGTGGAGTGAGAAGCAATGTTGCAAGAGGTGGAGCAAGTGGTGGTGGAACGGTTGGTGGAAGGGGCTGGCCCCACCTTTTGTTTGGAGAAGATGGAGGCATGAGAGATAGATCCTTTCCAGATCTAAATGCAGAAGCAATCCCTGGCCTTAATGCTTCAGAAGAGATCGATATAACCCAAAACGCGCCAACTGGTCATGTTTAATAGGATGTTAGCAAAGTTCCAAGTCTGAACTTGATAAGCCCTTCATTTTGTTATGCTCTAAAATCATTACTGTTATGCATGTCTTGACGAGAACATGCTAAGCCATTCATTTTGTAATGTTCTAAATATTCTGAATTTCTTAATGTCTAAACCTCGGAGTGGTGTTTTTTACTGTTTTATCGTTGTTTCGAATCCTAGGAAGCATGCTATGTATTGTGGTTTTGTCACTGTTAAGAATGTCAGGAAAAGAGCATGCATTTCAGATTTTCTACCATCAGGAACATAGCATTTTTATCTCTGAATTTTGTTTAGATCACATTTGTAAGCAATTTATTGTTGGTAAGAATGTCAGTAAACGAGCATGTATTGCAGATTATTCTACCAGCAGGAACATAGCTTTTTTATCTCTGAATTTTGTTTAGAAAGGTCACACTTGTATGTAGTTTATTATTGTTAAGAATGTCAAGGCAGAGCATGTATTGCAGTCTGACCATACCCGAACTGAATTTTGCCTAGAGCAACATTCAGGTTTAGTCTTTCTTTCTGCTGTATATCAGGTTTGGTCTTCTTGAGCCTACGTTCTAAAAAAATGCCTAGATGAATAGTTACTGCTATTCAGTTTTTGTAGAACTGAATTTTCTGCCGCAGTACATGCTATCGATTGATGTTCAGTTTTGTAGAACCAAATTCTTTGCTGACGGACATGCTATACAACAGAGAAAATATAAATAAATAAGGGAGTGATGGGAGTCGGACCTAATATTCAGGTATACAGCCGCTGAGTGTTAAGAGAGATGGGGATTTTACAGAGACTGAGGACCGCCGCGTCACATAATTTTAACATACAATTGGGAGATTCCTGTAAATGTTCCTGCAACGTGAAAGTGCCTCCCTGCTGACGTGGCGTCCGACGTGGCGTGACACACAGACGTTTCGGACTAGTTTGTATGAAATTGTTCCCGCAAACTAAGTTTAGTAGCCAGTTTGAGTCATTTTGCAAGTTCTTGTATGAAACTGTTCCCGCAATGCAAGTTGGTGTACTGTACGCGTAATTAACTCAAAATAGAACAACCTACAACCAGCAACAAATGACCCACAACAAAAAAGGACCACAAAAACAAATGACGTCATCCATAATGTGACTTAATTATGTCATATCTAATGTGCCCTCACAGACCCCAAAAAAATAGATTTTGATTTGAACGATTGGTTTAAAAGCAATGCGTTTTTAAAATCTCGAAATAGATTTGGATAGTATTGACTTCATTTATTCTTTTGTACATTGGATATTTATTGATTTTGTAGTATAAATGAGTTACTCCCTCCTTTTCGGTTTATAGGGCTTAATTCAAAAATCTCATCAACCAAGGTAGATGGTGAGTGGTGGAATATTTTTTATAGTTTGCAAAAGCACCTAATTAATGCTCTTGTTTTTCTCAAAAAATTATGTTTATCAATGCATTAATTGCAATGCATGCATGCATAAAGTACATGCATTGGTCAATTTTCTCTTAATACTTGCATGCAATTATTTAATGCACCTTGAAATCTGAACATGTGATGGGGAACAACCAAATTGAGACTTATAAAATGGAAAAACTAGAATTTTAAGGTAAACCCTATAAACCGGAAAGGAGGGAGTAGTGTAGAGGTGTGTGCGCTTGTGTGCGCCATGGAAAGAAAAAAAAGTGTGCGTGCACACACACATAATTTGAACTAAAATCACGACGAGTAAATCGGAACGGAGGGAGTACATCATCTCTACTCCTAATGGAGCAGTTGGTAGTCTCGCTTCCAGGTTTTTTTTCGTCCCACCACTTTCGTCCGGTTTTTTTTCGTAGGTTAACCGTCGTAGATTTTTTCGATGTTGGTTTCTTATTCACCGGTTTATTTACCCCTCAGCTCTTTCCTTGCAAATCAGCACTTTCCAAACGTGCACGCAATCACGGATCTAAATTTACTAACTTATCCAAATCAACCGATACCTTCCATTATTGCAAATTTCTTTAGGAAACAAATAATAGATTTTAAGGAAACAAATAAAAGATTTTAAAGACGCATCATACTTTACTAACAATCACTAAAAATCAAATCTAAATTAATTAACCTTACCTTAAATCACTCAATCACTTTAATTAGAAAACATTTTCTTTCCTAACTGCACCCCGCTTAGTGTGCACATAACAATCCGAAGTAATTAGAGTCACATGATTGAATCCATTTATTTAGAGCGACATGATTGCATTCCGGGATGGAGGCCATGATTTCGTCGAGGTCGTTGCTGCCTCCTACACTCAGGGTGTGTCGCCGAGATCGAGGCGAGCATGAGGAGCTGTGGCCACCGCCATGGTCACCCCATCGCAGGGGATGGAGCACGCCGTCGGCCTACAGCTTGTGGAGATCACTGTTGCTCTTCAGGTCGCGTGGTGACCGGATCTTGCCGATGTGTCCCTCCCCGACGACCTCCTCTTCGCCCGGTTGGCTGGCATGGATCTCGCCACTACTGACCTCAACTTCTCTGCCTTGAGCTCGACTGTCAGCCACCATGGATCCCCCAGCTGGAGGGTCACGTGAACCAGCCGTCCTCCCATGCTGCAGCGGCGAGAATGTGACATGGCTCTCCGTACACGAAGAGTGGAGTTCGGTCAAGTACTTATATACTTGGCCTCTACTGCTGATCCATGTACATGGAGAAGAACAGGCAACCGCTCATTCATGCTTCGTTCCACTCCTTTGCGCTACATTACTGGAGGTGACATTTTTCTATCTCTCTATGTTGTAACAAGCCTGCTGCCTGCATAGTTAATGGATTTTTTATTTAAATTTATCGCTGCTTAGTGCTTTGTTGCAATTGTTCACCCAAGATTCTTATATATAATCTGAGCGTATGTAGGCATACTTAGCTTTGCTATTCCATTTTTTCTGGCGCATAGAAATAAGAGTATTGTCCAGGTTAGGTATTCAATTGAGTATGGTATTTGGTTTGCTATCAGAATGTCTTTTCTATGCATGTGATTTCTCATATCTGATTATAATATTTGTGAAGTCGTGCATTGCACGTGCACTTGGAAGCGGGCCCGTGGCCCGCGCTGGACGGTGCCGACGCCGACCCGAACCACCTCGTCCGCGTATTCTTGGAGTTGTGGCTGGTCGATTTACATGAAATTAATTCCCTCAATTCTGGTGGTAAATATAATACACATAATCCATATTGTTATGCACTAGCGTGTATGTGTGAAATAGATGGATTATGGTCCCGTACCCAATAAGATGGATATGTGTGTGTGTGTTAGAGCGAGAGGGAGACGGGGATAGAGAGTGAGGAAGAGGGAGGGAGAGTGTGGTTCTGTGTGTGTGTGAAGATTTGATGGTAAAAAAAGTCGCCAATGTCATAATATTGAACTCTTAAAGTTAATGTGGCCCCGTTGCAATGCACGGGCGTTCTTCTAGTACTAGTAGAGGTTAGGTTTATCGTATTTGAGGCTTATTTTCCATTAGGAAAGGCCCCCAAAAGGAAAGAAAATCATGATAATCATCTAAATCAGCGGGGCCTTTTTCACCGCAACCAGTTACGGCGTAGATCCTCTATTCTTTAACTGACCAGGAGTTAGTTTCAAAACAAAAAAAAAAAACAAAAACAAAAAAACTGACCAGGAGTCTCGCATCAGTCTACCACTTGCATTGGTGTCGTCAATTCGCCTTCCTCCGCCTAACCGATCGATCGCCATGGAGAAGCAGCAGCAGGAGAGGATGCTCCTCCAAGCCGCCTTCGACGGCAACCTCCGCCTCGTCAAAAGTAACCCGACCAAGCTCGTGTTTGCTCTTTTTATCTTAGGGTTCGTTGGTCTGCCCTAGGTGTGGATCCAAGTGTGTTTAGTGCTAAGCATTTCCCGTCGCGCGCGTGTGCCAAGAGATGGCGCGGAGGCTCAACTCGGGGCCAGGCGAGGCGGCCATCATGGCGGCGGTGGTTGACGGAAACAGCGGGAACAGCGCGCTGCACCTGGCGGCCATGGAGGAGAAGATGGACGTCTGCAGGTACCTCGTGGAGGACCTCCGCCTTGACATCAACCAAACCAACGACAATGGTTAGGTTGCCTTCCCTTCAATTCTGCATCTCTTATAGTTATACGGCCTGAAGAGAGTGTTCTGCAACTTATTTTTTGTCTTCCGAAAATAGAAAATAAAATGAACTGTTCTTTCTATGGGTTTCTTCTTTTTCGGGCCTTTCTATGGGTTTCAGTTTCTTAAATATTTTTGGCACCGCTGAAGTTTCAGTATTTCTGTGAAATTCAATGAAAGTGACGGCCATTCATCTGCAACACACTTGGCATATTGTTGGTTATCGTACGCTGCATACACTTATACTTAAATTCGTAGTTAGAGTTTAAATATTTTGTATTCATGGGACATTTATACCAGCATATCTTGATTTTTTTTAATGTATAGGTGTCTCTTGCACCTTTATTTGTGCCTTTGTGCTATGTTTTAAACAGCAAACATAGGACAGTCACTGCGTAATGCATCAATTAGGACTAATGATGTTCCGGTTCCACGTTTAGCACTTTTAACAGTAATTGACCCGTGCCTTGTCCATAAAGGAACATTTGTATTGTTGAAGGCAGGTTTGATTTTGTGCTGAGCTCCTGGTCTTTTTTTTTCTTACAGGTGAAACTCCGCTATTCCTTTCTGCATTTTTCGGGAGAACCGTGGCTGCAAAATATCTTCTTGCTCATGATGCCGATCCAAAGTTAGGTGGTAAAACAGGATCGCCTCTCCATGCTGCTGCACACAAAGGTCTCTCTCTCTCTCTCACTCTCTCATGTACACACACAAATAGTATATATTTAGGAATAATATTTTCAATACTATTTAAGTGCATATGAAATCACACGATACAAACTGCAGTAGAAAACGATCGAGAGATCTAGAGGTTTCAGGAGTGGCCCCGGCCGTCATGCGGTCCAATCTGACCAACAAAACAGGCGCAAATGTATTGTTTAGTTATCCTGAGCATGGCCCTAGTTAACTTCTTAACTGTTCTGTCAAAATCTGAACTAGTATATTAGTCTAAAATCGTAATTTGGCTGGCAATTCTGATAAAGAGTATCTCGAGGTATGGTCAGGTGTCATGTATGTGTGAAAGACAAGTTAAATGTTGGAAAATAATTTGGAGTTATTAACTTTTTTATAATTTCTTCTCCAGAACATCAAGGAATAGTCAAACTGCTGCTTTCAAGAGGAATTGACGTGGATATACCTTCCCCGCTTGGGACTCCGTTGCATTTGGCTGCTACTTATGGTCAAGATGGTACGATGAAGATTTTGTTGGAGCACCATGCAGATGTAAGACATCAGATCTCTGTACACACTGGGCTATTCAAAAGAAGAAGAAAAATCGGGTTTGTTAAGACCTTTAAGAATGTATACATCCCATTGACGCTATCATGCACTGGAATGGGAACAACGTGGCTACTTTTACTTTGGTACATGAAGAGTTTATTTTGGTACAAAGCTACGGATATATATTCAGCATTTGATCATAATTACGTAGTTCTTTTGAAGTGAAACACAGTCACTTCCCCACAGTATGTTAAATATTATGTCTAATTTCTTTGTGAACATCACCAATGCATGCATAATATATAACACCAAATGAGGTGATATTATTTCTCTAATTTTCCTTTCTTCACGTATGGGAAATTGATCCATCCACTTTCTGCAGCCAAACAAGGTTCTCAACCTTGATGATACCCCATTGAGTATGGCCATAAGGCCCATACCAACTGCATCGGTGAACTGTGTGAAGCTACTCATTAAGGTTAGTCACCTTCCTTCGTGGATCTCCGTTAGGCTATGTTCGGTTAAACCTCTCCTGGAGAGGATTGGGGAGGTTTGGACGGGATTGACGTGGATTTTAGCTTAGCGGGGAATGAATCCTCCCCAGTCCACTCCAATCCTCTTCAAAACTCATGCAACCGAACAAGCCCTTAAGTGTATTCTGTAGGACAATTTTATCCCATCATGAGTAAGTTGTCTTTGTATTGCATCTCAAGCACTAACTCAGGTGATCAAATAATTAATTTACCCAGGCTGGCGCTGATGTGAATTTCACTGACTCGAATGGTGGTAGTTACGTGGCGTTGGCAGCAACTTGTGGCTCAGCTGGCATCATGAACTGTTTACTAGAAGCTGGTGCCAACCCGAATATTGCAGATGAAGTGAGTTATACAGTTTCCAGTTTGACTGCTGTCAGGCTCTACTTTTCATGCGTACTTTGTGTTGGTATTTACCTGATCGACTACTATTGGTCCTCTATGAGGTCAAGCAGTAGAATAAGCTGATCTGCCCCCATTTGTTCTTTTCGTAAATTTCCATAGATAAATTTATGCACTAAAAGTGACACACTTCTCTTAAGATTTTCGTTACAATTAACTGCAGAAATTAACGCAAGATTTTCTTGGATGAGGATGGGTGAGGGCATCAGGCTATTTCATAATTGCTTCACGCATTTGATATTGTGCGAAATATATTTAGTTATTTGTTTGAAATGTGCTGAGTTTTCAATCATATTGGCATGTAAATTGTTTGCAACTGCACATGATATTTATATTAATGATTATTGATTGCGAAATCAACAATGTCTTCTGCTCTTGCAGTTTGGTATAACTCCAATTGAAGTTGCTGCTTCCCAAGGCAAAAGAGAAATTGTTGAAATGTTATTTCCCGTAACTTCTCCGATTTCAAAGCTTCCCGATTGGAGCATTGACGGGATCATTTCGCATGTGAAAACTTTTGGTTTGCAGCAGGTATGTGTCTCTTTCTATGATCACTTGTAGTTCCATAATACTTTCTTTGTTTCACTATATCTGCCATCAGCTCACTATGCATATGAACTCAGAAAAAACCCAGATCTAAGAAATATTTTATGAGAAATGATAATACCCCTACTAAATGACATGCAAGTATGCAAGATTGCTAGCACTTAATCTCATTCAAATCATTAAATTAGGGGTAGATAGTGGAAACACTATTAAATATACACTTGATTTTGGCTGTGGACAATTATTTTAAGCAGAGATTTCAAGGCATGTGACAGTTAAAAGGCATTAACTCATATTTTTTATTTTAAGGAGTAAAACCACACCTAGCTGAACTCTTATCCGGCTTAACTCCTTATAATCTTTAAGCACCGGCTCTTTAGGCCCTCAAATATACTCGAACGGCA